AGATTTAATGTTAAGCAAGAAGTAACACGGCATAGTTTCACTACAATTCAAACTGCCGGAGATGCAATTCAACCATTTCTTCCATTTTTTTCACAAGTCACAGATATTGTTAAATCATTATTACAAACAAATGAATCTGCAAAGTGTAATCAAAAAATTTGTTTAGCTTTAATTGATCGTGTTGAAATTGCTCAACAAGCTGTAAATTCTTTACAAAGACAACAATTAGCAAATGAAAAACTCTTTCGAGATCAAGATTATTATTATGCTTGGGTTAGATTTATAACGGTTTTAGAAAATATTAGAAAATTTGCTAAAGAGGTTACTCAATTATCAAGTTTACAAAAATATATAAGTGCAATGACAGTTAAAGAAGCTTTTGATAAAAATATTAAAGAATTTGAAGACGTTTGTAATGACTTACATTTCACTTTGGCTATTTATAATAATGAACGAAGAGAAATAGAAACTAAAAAAGTTATGGAAGATATAAATATTTTACTTAAGGTAACTTAAGGTAACTTAGTTGATTTAATATGTTTATAATTTATTAACCTGACGTTTTTTTGAAATCATTAAAATAGAATATGGGCGATATAAGTTCTGATATCAGATTAGTAATGAAAGAATTAACCCAGTTATCAACAAATATAGGTGAATTAACTAAACAAATAGTTAAACCTGAAAGTGGTTCCATGGGTACAGAGGATACCGCAAAAGTAAAATTAAATAATGTATTTAAAGCACCTAATATAAATCCAGCTGATCTTGAACCATATCCAATTAGTAAAGAATCTGGAAAAAATATCATTAAAAGAGTTTATAGAGGTGTTGAAGTGGCATGCAAAAAAATTCTTGTTATCGAAAATAATGATACAGTACGTTCTCAAATAGACCAGCATGAGTTAGCAATTCTTCTTAAATTGGGCTATTGTCCATATATTATTGCCTTTCATGGTCTTTCATTAATAGATAATAGTCATGTTATGGTGTTTGATTGGGCACAAAATGGAAATTTAAAAAAGTTATACGCGTATAATAAAATTGATTGGCCTACTAAATTAAAAATTGCTCGTGATATATGTAATGGTCTTTTATTTATTCATAGATGTAATATTTTGCATCATGACATTCGTTGTGAAAATATTTTGGTAAGTTGTACATTTATTATTAAATTATTATTATTATTATATACTTACATTGATGTAAAAATCTTTTTAGATTACAGATGGATATGAACCTAAAATTTCAAATTTTGAACTTAGTCATACTGAACATGAGAAATCTTTGGAAGTAAAGAGTATATTGGATCTAATCAGATGGTTAGCTCCTGAAAAAATGAGTAGCGATACAAACAAACGATATAATCTCAATAGAAGATATGATCATCATTGTGAAATGTTTAGGTATATACGTATTTTTGTATGTGAATCTTCAAATCAACTTCTATACGTATATTTATTCTTATGACATTTATAAACTATAGTTTTGGAATGCTTTTATGGGAGCTTTGTCATCAAAGAATTCCATATAAAAATATGGATACTGTAGCCGCAATTCAAGATCATGTCATGAGTAAAAAACGTGAATCTATGGACATAATTATTTATCCTAACCCAATTCCACAAGAACTTGCTAAAATAATTACCAAAGGTAATTTATTGTTATTGTATTACATATAAAGTTTTATATAAAGTTTTATCTATTAACATTTAATCAACATTTAATTATTAACATTTAATTATTAACATTTAATCATCGATTGCATTTATTTTAAGCTTGGAATCATGAACCTTCTCAGCGTCCAAAGGTCATGGAGATGCTATCAGATCTCAAGTATCTTTATGATAACTATGTTCCTAAGGGTACTTCTCCAAAAGTATGTCCTAAAGGTGAAGGTGATGATATTCCCGGTTTTGATCTTACTGCTACAATAAACAACAATCAAAGATCAAAAAACGACAATAGAGAAAGTACCTATTTACCTGAAGATAGTGATGATCTTACTTTGGATAATATTATTACTATTCCTATTATACATACTTTAAGCCCATTTGAAGAGGGGCATAAAGCTCATCAATTAAAAAAGTTTGATATTGCTTGGGATTGTTTTTCTGGTCATGCTGAATGTGGAAACAATTATGCAAAATATTGGAAAGGTTATTATTTATTAAATGGTATCCATGTTAAAAAAGATGTTAATGCTGCTCTTGAACTATTCAAAGATGCTGCTGATAATGGTGTTGTTGATGCTCAATTACGTTATGCTTTCACTTTACTTGAGAATGGTTCAAAAAATGTTTCGGAAATTGTAAAATATATGTCATTAGCTGCTGATAATGGAAATGCTACTGCTCTTTATAATTTAGGTGATATTTATCTAAATGGAAGGTTTGGTATGCCTGTTAATGAAGCAAGGGCAAAAGAATGCATTCAATTAGCTGCTTTGAAAAATCAACCAAAAGCAATTGCTTTTTTACAAAAATTAAATGCTTCAAAATAACCGTTTTCATGTTTTATTTTTCATGTGTTATAGATAATTATTTATAGCTGATGATAAAATCGTGATTTTTCATCTTATAATTTTATTTTCTTTTAAATATTAAGTGTAAATCCGTTTAAATCGATTTTTATTTTTAGTTTTATATTTCTAACTTCTAGAAGGTTAATTAAATGTTTTTTAATTATGTGTGGATTTTAACTTTTTTAAATCGACTTAACAAAATATGTATCTAATAGATTTATTAAAGTGATGAACTTATGGGATTTGATTAAATTTTAAAATCTATATTAAACTTTTTTAACAAAAAACTCTTGCTGGCTGAGGCTGAAGGAAGTCATACTCTACCGAATTTTAGAAATGGTTGACTCCCGATTCAACTAACCCTAATTTAGGTTCTATATTGGGAGGTCCCACAGCAAAAGGTGGTGATGGGCTAAAAAATTTTTTTTCTGTAGTTTTTTGATATTGTGTTCTAAATGATCTAATTTTTGCAAAAATAAGGTTTTTACAAAAAATTTTTTTTGGCCCATCACCTTTTGCTGTGAGTAGGGTGCGGAAAAAAAAAGCCCAGTTGATTTCTGAAATTTTGAAGGCTATAAAAACAATGTCCCACTATTGGTGCTTAAGCCGAACTTATTATATGTAATTAGTATGATAAACACACTTTCAGC